TTTTGTGTCCGCCATATTGATCATTTCGTGACATCATTTATCCTATGTCACCCGCAGTGTCAAAACGAATCCAGCGATACCTCATTTCTCAAAATCGCTCCAGCCGTTTGGGCTCTAGAGTCGAACTAATGAACATCAGTAGGTACACTTCGGAGCAAACTCGGCTTCCACTAGGGGAAAAAGTGTCGTTGGAAAGGACCTCCTCCCATTTGGTTTCGGGAATTATTAAAATGTATATCAAATTAACATTCAAATCAATATTTATTTCAGTACTTGGAATAAATTTACCAAGTGGTAAGCCCTTTCCCTAGAATTTGCACGTCAGTGTACATACAGACACGCGAAATCGTCGGGTAAAAAGTCGTGGTGCATCGTTAAATTTACTTACACATGACAGAATAACATTGTTTCTCAGGAGAAAACTGTGTCAAATTGACCCAAGGAATGGTTTAGGGCTAATAAAATACTCAATGTTACCTTCGTAAACATTGAAAAGAAGAACGCTTATTGCATTTCCGCTTTGGTTTAATAACCGTGTAACACGGTTAGCGTGTACTTATTTCTTTCTCATTGACTCAGCAGAGAATCTAGTAGGAAGTCGTATTTTTGATGGAACAATCATCCAACTATTTATGTGGTTTTTATTAAAACGTTTAGCTTCACTATTGAAACGCAGTGAGCGATGCCAAACTTCGGAGCGATAATGTGTGTAATCATTCGAAATAACGCAACGGTAATCGTGACGCGATCTACAATGAGTAGGTAATATAAAGATCGGTGAAGCGATCGTGAGAACAGGAACATCGGAGTGTTTGGGTGGGTGCATTACTGGCTTAGTTTCCGTAGTCGAAGTGTCGTGTATGACGAACGTAATCCAGATTTCCTCTTGTGTATAGTGATGGGCACGATATAGTGAACTCGTAAAATTTTTTGTTTGGTGACTTCAAGAACGTTTCTCACACGTTAGAGCGGATCGTCTTCACGGAGATTTGTGTAACTTGAATTTTTTATTTTGTTATTCTAACAAAAATGTTACTATGTACCTACTTGTAATTTATCCATACTCAAAATATTAAATTGTTGCGTGGGCGCGGCATGATTTCCAATAATAAGAAAGCAGGATTTATAAAGTGAATAATTATTTATTCTAGAGGAGGTGTACTTACCTTTGACACGTCATTCTCTTTCAAAGGTCGAACTAGTGATGGGCACCATCGACTAAATTAAACTATCGACTAATGACTATTCAGTCGCAACATACTGTCGACTATTTAGTCGATAGTTTTTAGTTGACTGAAATTTTGCTTTATAGGTTATGTATAGATTATGTCGTCAACTTTTCAGCACCATTGGTGTATTTACCTTTTAGAAATGTATTAGATCATAGATAGAATTACAAAAATATAAGCGGTAAACAAGTTTTTTTAAACAATTACTAATATTCGATTTTTTGTAAGCTATTTAATATTGGCAGTTAAAAAATTAACTGCTCTAAATTTTTTATGTAAATCAATTAGGTTGTAAGCAATAATTTGCACAGTTCTTGGTAATGCATAAAAAAATATATGAAAAAATTGCAATTGGTTTGCATCGCGAAGAAAATAATCAAGATCCAGTCAATAGCGATCAATAGCTCGATAGTTCGAGCGAGTCGCTTGGAGCGACTAAATTTAATCGACTAAAGTAGTCGCTTCAAGCGACTAATATTAGTCGCCTGAAAGTAGTCGCTTTAAGCGACTAATATTAGTCGACTGAAAGTAGTCGCTTTAAGCGACTAATATTATTCGCCTGAAGGTAGTCGCTTCAAGCGACTAAAGTAGTCTACGATTGAAAAAATTAGTCGACTCAAAGGAGTCGTTGGTTACTATCGACTTAGTCGATAGTTTTTAGTCGATGGTGCCCAACACTAGGTCGAATTACGACTCTACATTGTTTATGTTGGGCGCCATTACCAGAACGACGCCGCACAGTGGTCGGAATTGAAAAATCCAGTGACATTTTGATATAACTTTTGAACTGTAGGGGATATTGATATGAGGTTTGGACTGTGTAATTTAATAATGTTAACTTACAAGTAGGTGAAAAGAGAAAAAATTACAATAACAATTATATATTTTAACAGTAGAAACAATAACAAATAAAAGTTAAATTGAACTATATTTCTTTTACAACTAGTCAATAATTAATTCTGCAGCTTCCGCATCTAATTTTTTAGACCAGACTTCTATTTGTGGGGAAAATTAAAGCAGCAAGTGTACAATGAAATACCAACAACCAAAGAAGATACGAAAGAGCGTATAAGAAGAGCTTATGCCGCGATAAACACAACTGAAATTCAACATGCCGTATTATCCGTCAAGCAACGCTTCAGCCATTTGAACACTTGTATTAGTCGTGTATTACTGTTAGATAAATAAATCAACGGTGCCTGATCATTTCCTCAAAGTAAATTATTTTCTATCACAATTAGCTTAACGCAAGCCATGAATGACCCTTCGAATAGGTCATTGTATTTGTCTTGAAATACTCTATCAGAATGTAAGTAAAAAAACATACCGTTCCATTTAAAAAAATAGAGATGACCTTCATATCTCCTTGACGCCTTCACCTATCAAAAAACTAGTAACATCGGATGATCAGCCCCTCGATATCAAATAAGTTTGGTCTGATGCATTTTTTCCTATCACCAATAGCAGCCAAGTTATTCAGGTGGCCGGTTTTAAGTGCCTCACCCTGTATAGAGGGTGTTCGCGATAATTTGTACCATCGCTTTTTCGTAAACGGTAAACATTAGAAAAAAACCGAAGAGGAGGAAGTTGTAATATATTTTACTAGCAATATGATAGCCTTTCTAAAGTTTTTGTATTTTTAATATTTTTTGAGAAACAAAGGTGACCTCAATTTTTTTAAATGGAATGCTATATATTTCTTTTTTTTTTAAATTACATCATATTGTAAGTTTGTCAGAGTCCGGCAAAATATAATCTATGTAATTAGAAAATCTAAATTACAATTACAATGTAATTGCAATGTAATTACAATTACAATTACATTGTAATTTTATAAATACAGTAGACTCGTATAAAACTAGCGGTAGGAACGCTCCAGCTCACACGCATTACTGTCACACATGCACGTATCCCACTATCGGTCGACATCTGTAATCAAAGTTCTGATCCAATTGGTGAATTCGTCGAACTGCCACGAGATCCTGCGTGCCCATTGGCTCACGTTGAAGTAGCGTTTCCAAGAGAAACCCACCTCGAGAGCCCCGCACCGCTACTTTAACGAGAGTCTACTGTACACTCTAATTTTAGAATTACATTGTAATTTTACAACTACATTGTCACTGTAATTTAGATTTTGTAATTAGATCCTATGTTGCCCAACTTTGTTGTATGTCACTATTCATTCACCAAAAGATTAAAATAAGTAAAAACTTCGGAGATTGTCATTCGATGTATATCCTTAGTTGCATGAAAAATATTTCGAAATTAATACTATACTGGTGATTGTGATGCGAGCACAATAAAATAAGAGTAATGTTTCATTAATGATTTAATAATGTTTTCAAATTCATAAATTTTCGTACGATTCCCACTTTTGTACATCACTACACAAAAGTGTAAATTTCGAAAAATAACTTCCGTCTGGTCATTCCATTTTATATGCATAAAAATAATATGTTATTATTAGGAGGTGGAACTTAAGTAAAAAGAGAATGGTCATTTTGGGCCCAAATGTTCTTCAGCGTTCACGAACGGCTGCGGTGGCGTTTGATAGGTCGTCACTTATTAAACAAAATAGTACATTGCGACAAACCGGTAAAACTTGGGGGTTTCGAGATATTGACATTTGTATTTTCCCACACCTGAATTTTTATAACTTCTTAATAGTTCAACTTGTTGATCTCAAACTTTTTTTTTTAATATTATTGCTTCGACATGGCCTTTTTTGGGCGACAATGATATTTAGCTCTCCACGCATTGTAGTGAGAGTACATTTTTAAGAACATTCGGAAAGCAATATTTTGCACATTTGTGGTACAACTATCGAGTTGGAGGTTAGCTAGCTATTTCATAATGTTTTAGTACAGAGGTATGGTAAAAATCATTTTTGGAACATTTTATTAAGATATATACTAATAATAATTATTATTATTATTATATTATATATCATATCAAATAATACATAATACAATACATAAGAATTACTTTATTGTATATTATTTTATGTATTGTATTCTTCTATTCAGTTAATATTTCATTACGACTTGACATTGAAAACAGCAGGAAACGATATTATGTACATAACTTTTCTAAAAACTTACAGAACAAACTATTTTATTTAAAAAATAACCTAATCGTTAAAATGTTACAGAAAATTCCAACTGAATATGCTGCTCTAATAACATGTTGTATAAATGATTTTTAGTATACCCCTGTACTAAAACATTATAAAATAGCTGGCTAGCGAGCTCTAACTCGATGTATTTTCGGTCAAACATGCAAAAAATTGTTGTCTTATTACTTCTTAAAAATGTACCCCCACTACAAGGCGTGGAGAGCTAAAAATCATTGTCACCCCCCCCCCCAAACCCCCAAAAAAAGGCCATGTCAAAGCAGTAATATTAGAAAAAGTTTGAGATCAATAAGTTAAAGCATTAAAAAGTTATAAAAATTCACATTTAGAAGAATAGAAATGTTAATATCTCGGAACTCTGATATTTTACAGATTTGTCGCAAAGTATTATTTTGTTCAGTAAGTGACGATTTGACACTTTGGGCCGAAGCATCCATATTAACTGAGCATTCTGATTTGCGAAAATTACTTCAGAAAAACGATAGATTGTATCTAAAATTGATGTGATTTTTTGAAAATTATAAACTCAGCTAGTTCGTCGCTTCAGCTGAATTACTCATCGATGAATGTGACGATGCAATATGTTTAACATGTGTACGACGTGGTTTTTTCACAGTTGAATTTCTTTTGTGTTTCAGTCATCTTTCTAAACCGCTCAGTAGAAGCACACCATCCATGGCAGCCGGTGGTGTCGTACAAGTCGCACCGGGAAAGGTTAGCAGATCCTCGTCCACATCCTCGCCGACGACTACCAGCAGCGCCAGACAAAAGAAATTTCACAGGCATTTCTCTCAGGTAATTGAAAGAAAGTCTTTGCTTCTGCGTTTCACGTGTGTCACTTCCACATCACCACATTTAATTAGATCGTAATGTGTACGATATTCACCGATTATTTGACCAGACTTGATCGTTGCATTCCATTAAGGGGTCATGCTCAGTCAGGAGGCCGAAAAAAGAGTGTTCTTTAAGAATTTTTTTCTCGAAAACTATAAGACTTTTTTCAAAAAATGTGTTTGTGTTTCAAAGATTGCCGTTTATAGATTATAAGGTAATTTTTTTATTTAAAATATATTTATTAGTAAATAAATGGTGAGCGATCTCCCGGATGTCTCTTCACAAACAGTAGTCATGAAATCAAAAATTCAGTAAGATTTATGTAATGGAAGAACCAATCTTGTCTTTGAACGTGGGGTTTTTCGAAATATTGATTAGGAACAAAATAGCGGACATTTTCCTGAGAAAGTGCGATTTTCACCTAAAAATCATTCGTTTTTGGTCAATTAAAAAAAAAAAGTATAGAACGAACAAAAAAAAAAATCCTTCGTTCAAGGACAAGTTTTTCTGATTTGAAATAAGGCGCAAAACGTTTCATGTAAATCGACACAATAGTTTTCGAGAAATATTGATCACCGTTTTGAAAAATCTAGTTTCAAGAAAAACGCGTTTAAAGTTTCAAGTCAAGCTTACATTTATATAAAATGTTCATCTTTAACGCCTGTAACTCTGTCATTTTTAATTGGAATACCTTGAAACTTGCACAGAATATTCTCGAGATGTTGTACTTAAAGAAAATGTAGAAAGTGAAAAATCGATTCTTTGAAAATTTCTTTCTTAAGCCTTTGCAAATGAAGTGGGCGATTCTACTGATAGGTATATTTGACGTTAATTTTATGACTAACAATTGTTATCACAGCTGCTGTCTTTATTAAAAAATTGCACAGTGTACCTACTCTATTAGTTTCAAGCTATGTACAGTCCCTGGCTAAAAAATTAGGGCCACCCATAATTCTCCGCGATAAGCGTAGAATTAAAATGCCAGGACGTAATTTAATAATAATTTTCATTAACTACTAAAGTATGTACATATTGTATATTACATACTTACATACATATTAATAATTTATATATCATTGTATGTAATGTCTTATTATTTTTTACTTTTGCGAGTTTATTGTCCAAACAACTCTCCCGACATGAATCCCATTGAAAATGTCTGGCGCTTACTTAAAATCCTTGTACACGCATTACATGTCGCCACAATAGATGATTTAAAAAAAATTCTGAATGTTTGACAAAATCGTCTGAAAATAATGAGATACAAATTATTAATATGTATGTAATAGATTTGTACGTACTTTAGTAGCTAATACAACTTATTGGCCGTTTAATTCTACGATTACCGCGGGAAATTAGGCAAATTATGGATGGCCCTAATTTCTTGACCAGGAACTGCACCATCTGACATAAGAATAAAACCAATCGTGTTAAACACTAATGATAATTAAAATCGAGAATCAACCTCAGTTAAATTGGGGCCATTTCTACCACATGCATTGACCACACTTTAACTGCTACATCACCCAACTAGGAGTGACATGTACGTTGCAAAGGGACTGGATCGTTTAAATATCGGTAGAAAATTTTGCGTAAAAATTTGTGATAGTATAATTTAATATTATTACAGTAGGTATAGTTTAAAACACGATCAACAACCTCTATTAACTAAACGCATATATTTTCGACGATTTCCGACTTAAAGAACGAAAGGAAGCGTGTCTGGTTACGTACGGCCTTTTTCACTGGTCAGTCAACGTGTTAAAAGATGGGCATTAAAGCTAAATTCATAATTCAACTTTATAAAGATACATATAAGTTTCTACTAAACAAAATACTATTTAGCGATGGCAGTATTCGACGGAAAGGTGGCAGTCGAAAGTGTCTTTGAAGAGACCTTTTCAAATTCAGTATATAACAATTATGTAATGAATGTAATATAAATGTCACTTTTGTATTTCAATGAAATACGTGTATAGCGTCTATTTAATCTTACATCGTCTAATAAAATTGGTATAATGTTGAATATATCAAGTGCTGGTAATAAAACGATCATTTCGTGTGCAACAATCTAATAGGTACTACAACCCCTGATAGAATATACATATTTAAAGCCCAGAAAAATTGTCATATTTTGGATTTTTTTTTTCAATGAATGAAATGTTCAACATAAATGAAGTGTTGTCTATTTATTGAGAGTATAAAAAGATAGTTTTGGAACTTTAAAAATGAAGGTGGTCTGGCCACCTTAAAACCCAGACCTTAATTAACCCCACTGAGCTGTTGTGGGACAAATTGGACAGAAGCATTAGAAAACAGTGCCTCGCTTCTAAAATCCAGCTCTGGACGCTGTTAAAAGAGGCATGGAGAAATATACCGGATGAAAAAATAAGAAAATTAATATGACGAATGCCTTTATTGACCAAAACTGTAATAAATTCCAAAGGAGGATTTTTTGGTGAAAAGAAAATTTAATTTTAAATGTTCTTAATTCTTGTTTGTTTGAATATTATTTAACTATTGATGCATAGTTCGTTAACTTTATCTTTATCAAACGTAATACTAAACAAAATAACATTTTTTGCGTTAAACAATATCTGTCTTTATTTTTTCTTTTAATTCTCAAGTGTCCATACTTCCATGAGCGGCAGTGTATGTACAAACTAATATATTCATTAAAGTGTTTATTATATGAATCGTCTTTTTTTTTAAAGTAGTAGTAGTCCATTTGTAACAATAACGCAATTTATTTAACACGTTTGAACCAAATATGTACTCCTCGATCCCCCGATCTAACACCATTAGATTTTTTCTTATGGAGATATGTAAAGGACAAAGTTATGTTTGAACCGCTGACGACAAAAGAGAATATAAAACAAAGAATACGTGACGCTTGCGCTTCAGTGACTTCCGAAATGTTAACAAATGTCAGAACAACTTTGATGTTTGGAGTAAATAAATGTTTACAAACCCGTGGTGGACATTTTGAACATTTAATTTAAAGAACATTTTATTTCTTCACGAATAAGCAAAGGACTCAAGCGCGTATAATTCAATAACGTAATATCCAAGCGCTTCAAGCAAGTACCTACAAGTCGAAACTTCAAACTGTTATATCTCATCATGGAAACATCTGACAAAAAAATGTTTCAGACAAAATTTACTGGTTTTTTCCTGTAGAATCTAAATATGTAACGTTTTATAGGGGGTTCTATTTAAAATTATAAAGGTACCCCCCCTCCTAAAAAGGCGAAGGAAGGGGGGGGGGCACTTCACGTTTATGTAGTTAGAAAGGCCCTTCAGATTCATGCAATTTAAGACCAAGAACTTTAAAATCGATGGCATAATTTTCGAGATATTGAGCTGTTAAGAGTTATGTGGGCCACCCTGTGTACGCTCTGTTCAGCAAGAATATTTCAAGAAACTTTTTACAAAGCACAATGAATGAAATATGATTAAAAGTTATTGATATTGTCTATCTTTACGATTGTACTTTCATTTTTCTAATACATAGGTATTGTTCTTATATTAAACTTATTATAATAAAATTCTCGAAAATGTATATCAATATACCTTCATATTTAATAACATACCTTTATTGTTTTGATTATAATCATTATTATTTATATTTTAGTATTACATTTCAAAACAGTCGTCAACTTCAATGAAAATATAAATTTAAAACTTGTATTGATCAGGTTTTGAAAATGTATTATTTTTGAAAATGTTATCAGTCTATTCGCAACCGACAGAAACATTCGTTTACTTAGAAAGTATTTATAAGAATGGTCGCATAATAAATTAATCATATCTAGAATCTTAAAAGCTTAAAATAATATTTTTAAATAATGCAAAATATTAAATACGTATCTGGTAATAAAGAAAAGTAAACTTATACCACTTAAAAAAAGCGACTCATATAAATTCAAGATACTACTTATAGAAATACAGTAGATATTCGTTTAATATCGCCTGATATCGCTCGATGAACATAATTATTATACATCAATTTAATGAAGGAATATAACTTTAGTAGTAGCCAAGGAGTGATGGACCATAGCCCAAAACTTAATTTTCTTATTCTGCAGCTATTTATAAACATATTGTTATATACTAATTACATGTGATATAAAAGATCATCCACTACATAAATCGTCGAGTACAATATTTATTATTTCTAAAACATTCGATTTTCGGATATTTTGAAACGCGTGGTCCATCTCTCCCAGGCTTACTTACCTACGTTGGATCATGTGAACGGACGATCAACAGGAAGAGCGCGCGTGTGATCGATCCTCGTTTATTGCATCGTTTCAAGAAATTCGACACTCTACAGCCCTGAAAGATGCAATAAACGAATGCCTACTGTACTTCAGAAAATATTTTTCTATCACTGCGATTAGTAGAACACGCTGGTAAAGGTTTGCTCGATCGGTGTGTAGAACCCCCTACTTTACAACCTGATAAAATCGCAAGTATGTACTATCTAAATATGGAATGTACGACGTTTTCGCGTCAGTTTTTCACACTCGTGAAATGATAACGGTAACCTTCGTTCTTCACCGTTTCGCATCTTATCTGCCATGTTATTGAGACTTTTCACGCAAACCGTTGAACTGGTTTTATCGTATAACAGAAGCTAAGAGCGTTATCCGGTATATCAGCTGCGGTATAGTAACAGAACTTGCCATGTTATCATAACAAAGTTTTCGACTCGAATGAAATCGTTTCACGAATCTATTAACATTTCTCGAGCTACTTTATTATTCCGTTAAAGTGTTGGATGGTTTAGTTTTCTCTGTTTTACAAATACGTGCGTTGAAGTGAACTGTTGATATTCGTTAGGCGTAACTAAACTGTAAGTAAACAAGAGGGAGTTACTGAATTTACATGAGATCTATAAATCATGTTCGTGTGGCATATTTTTACTCGTGGATCAGATCACTCTACGTTGTATAAAAATTTTTTTGTTTACTGTTCCTGTAAATGTAATTACCTGGAACGATAATTTGTTCTTTTTTTTTTTTTTAACATTCGCTAAACTTATTCGATCGAGCCAAATTAATTATGATAATATTTTATTTCATGAGTTATTTTTTTGTAATTATGTTGTAAACACTTGTGTGTGTGCTTGAAGTGGTTGTTAACTCCTGTGTTAAACAGTTTTATTGAAAAATATTTTATCATACGCGACATTCTGCGTCAGAAAATCGTACAAAAAGTTGACTAACCTTTAGCGCACGGTCAGGTTTTTTTTACGACTTTTTATATTTTCCAGTTAGAACTTTCATATATTTGTTATTATTATAACTTATAATATTTATATTAGTGCAACATTTTATACTAGAAAAAATAGGCGACCACTCTAGAGCCTACAAATAGGCTTCCCCGACCTCTAGAGGTTAAGCAGAAGTTCGAAACTGTTAAATTCCATTTTTTACATCTACTTTTATATTACTTTCACTTGCACTTAACTAACAAATAAAAAAAACATTACTAGTAACGGAGAATATGAAACGGACTAATTTTAGTCATAGATTATCTTACAGAAGCATATTTTGGAATAAGAACATGAAGAAACTTGAGTCGACTACTTAATATCGTGCAAGACAAAATACAAATTCCTATTTTGTACAACTAAATGGCTACCTAATCGATTAGGTTGAATCATAAATATCTTCCATTCTTGTTTGAAACTTTTTCCTTTGTACATAATTCACAATTTACATTAATCTAATGGACTTATCGCACTTACAACAAAAAAAAAAAAAAAAAAAAAAAAAAAACATTCTTCTAATAACCATTTAACAGATACAATTCTTTTGAAGAATTTATGAGGATATTGTACATCATTGACTGTGTTATTATAAATATGACAAGAATACATCCATGTCCAACTAAAACTGACCTTATCCGGTTACATACCTTTGAGCTGTTAAATAAAAGGAAATATAAAATTTTTTTTGTATATATAAAATTATTGTGTATTAAAAATTCAACATATACATCTTATTATATGCTTTTTTCTTAGTAATTTCCGAAAAATTTAGCTATATATCTATCAACAATAGAAAATGGCTGTCATTTAAAAGCGTTTTACTCGAAATGCAGTTTTGAAAATCGGTACGTGAATTTTTCATTCGTGCATTTCTTAATTTTTTTTAGTAAATAAAGAAGTTGAAAAATTATGTCAGAAACTACATGTTTATGTTCAAACAGCTGCCATTTTGTTCCTAATCAATATTTCGAAAAACCCCATATTCAACGACAAGATTGGTTCTTCCATTACATAAATCTTACTGAATTTTTAATTTCGGATAAACCGTTAGGAAGTTACAGTGATCATGGGAGACCCCTTTTTTGTGAAGAGACATCCGGGAGATCTCTCACCATTTATTTACTAATAAATATCTTTAAATAAAAAAATTACCTTAGAATCTATAAACTGCAAACTTTGAAACACAAACACACTTTTTGAAAAAGGTCTTATAGTTTTCGAGAAAAAAATTCCCAAAGAACATTCTTTTTTCGGCCTCCTGACTGAGCATGACCCCTTAACTCATTTTTTCAAAATTGGGCTTATAGCACTTTCAAAAAGAAAAAAAAAACGGCCCATATCATTATCTAATCCTTAAAATCTTTTGTTTGCCAGGTTTCTGCAGACGAGCGTGTATTGAACTATTACAGCTGCGCACTGGTAGGCGACATCTTGCTGCAGGGCCATCTCTATATCACGCCGAACTATTTCGCGTTCTACAGCAATGTGTTCGGTTACGTGACGAAGCTGCTGATACCGACCGTGACAGTGCTGAAGATCAGCAAGGAGAAGACCGCCCGTATCATTCCGAATGCGGTTGCGATTGCCACCGAGGAGGAGAGGCACGTTTTCGGTTCCCTTCTGTCGAGGGACTCGACCTTCAAGCTGATGAAACAGGTTTGGGACGCTGCCATGGAGCCCCAGCCGCAGATTCTACCGCTCACCACCAACGAGCAAAAGCTCCTCGCCCCGGACACGCCGGTGGTCGACGACTCCGAGGTGAACCCGGAGGAGGACGACTCGAGCATGTCCGAGAGCGGGACGGACCTGAATTCGAGACCGTCGACCGTCTGTACCGACATAGACGGTATTTCGCCGCCCATCATCAGGCCCAGTCTGCCACCGGTCATAAAGTAAATAAATTGTACTTTTTTTTTTCTCTTTGAACAGCTCTGTCTCCCTCTCTCTCCGTAAGTCATTGGGTTAGGTCAGGGGTCGGAAACTGCGGCTCCCGAGCCAAATGTGGCTCTTTGAGTACCTACTTACATGTGACTCTGAAGATACAATTAAAAATGAAAATACAATCAATGAGAACAATTTTTCTAAGATTTTTTCTTCATTTAATAAAGATATAATTCATATTAGTACTTGTTATAATGTTACTTTAAATTTTCCTTATTTATAAAAATATTTTTATAACTCTGAAATAATTTTTAAATTGTTGCGAGGGACAGGTTTGGCTTTTCCGTCTCAAAAGTTTGCCGATCCCTGGGTTAGCCAATATTATACAGCCAATCGTTATAGGGTACATGTCCCAATTACTGCCAGTGTTCCTAATACTGCCAGTTTATTTATTTTACTTAATAAAAAAAAAAAAACGTCACCTATAAAGAATTGTGTACAAAGAATTTTATTATTATATTGGGACTATGAATTACATAAAAACAAAGAGATATATGTACTTGTGTGCACCTGGTATTTAAAATTTAATGTTGAAAAATGATAGTGCAATTTCAACGTCAAAAGCGCGACTATGTAACTGGGTGAAGATGGTTAAATCATACTAAAGAAAAAGCCGTAATTTTACTATTCATTCTGTATCTATTGTACAAAATGAAGTGTTAAAGTATATAGGACGTGCATTAATTTTTTAGTTTAGTTATAGGGACATTGGAATTGCTCAAAGATTTTAATTAATTATTAATTATTTCTTCATATTTAATTTATGGGAAGTACTTTTTTTAATGAGAAAGATGTTAAATAATATTGTGATCCAAATTGAAACGACTTTTATTCTTCTCAAGAGAAGCAGTCACTGTATACATCCCTGTTTTTATACATTTGTTACACCCACCAACACGGTGACTTCTTTTTTCTGTCTTCAGCACATAATGTATAAAAATGGACCACTGCTAACTCAAGAGGTGAATTCATTGTACTCACAGGAGGAATTGATACTCTACTTTTTGTGACAAGTCGCATCTCCGTTTTTGTACTGATACGCACGCAATGATGATACGCAACGGTGATACGTAACAAATGGATACCCATCTTCACAGTCTCATCCAGACCTTTAAACAGTTAACGAGATTAAATAATTGTTTACCAACTGTCCATTCATTCCGGACATATTATTTTAATATAAAAATTGTAATTTTTACGTTTAATTAATTAATAATGGCGAAATATATATATACTTCTTTTATCGTCTATTCGTTACTCGAAATTTTTTATATAATGAATATGCCCATTTCTGCACTATGTAAATAGTACGAAATTAATGATTTAATGAAGTTCCATTAGAAAAATTAATTTTTGTTTTTTTTTTTTTTTTGTGTTCTCAGGTTGGAACCACCGCCGGTACCAATGCTCCCAACTACACCCAACAGACCTAAAGTTCTTTTGTCCTCGTTTGTGGGCGGACTGAAAACTAGCACAGTGATAACGATTCTAATAGCTCTATTAGCAGCTCTCTATGTGTCGGCGGCTCTGATGATGATTCGCATCGACAGGCTACACACAGCCTATCTAAACCATCCCTTCGTCTCGCCGGAACGTTTCACGCAGGATCGGCTGTTGCACTACCTGAACACAAATCTCGATCAAATAATAAAGGTGCATATTAAGACTTCGTTAAATTGAAAATTGCCAAATTCTGTACGCCTTTGAACGAAATAGATTCCGGAAAAATCCACTTATTTCAAATATACATTACATATTAATGTATTTTTGCTCATTTCTCTTGCAAAATGTTGATTTATTTTTGCAGACTTTTATATATCTGAAGCCCTTTGTAAGTACACTAACATTGAGGACCATTTTCGAACTGCTTTCTATAACGCAAACGTTAATCGTATTAATTATTTTTCTCGTTGTTTCTCTGCAATAACTTGAGTATGGCTATTTTATAAACGATTATCTAATCCTGATTTACTGGGTCTATTTGGGCCCATTGTAGCAATATCATTTCATCCCATCTTCTACATATGTACATTCTGTTTTCAGGAGTATTATTGAAGTAAAGTAAAGCGAAGTAAACGAAGGTATTGCAGCATACGTTAAATATATTAAAATTATGAAATGTAATTAAACAAAATTTATTATTCTTAATTATGAGTAGTGGGTCTCATGCACTCCATAATGGTCAAAAAAATGTCCAATGCATATATTTGTATATTATATATTACGTTGTATGGTCCATAGTATACACAGATGGTGTATACATATGTTACAGTAAAAGCATGAAGTTCGGTAAATGTATACACTTGCTAGACAATGTATGCATTTACGTACGATTTTAGCAGAAGTATGAACCGAATTAAGGATGTAAACTATTTCTGCTAAATGTATACATTTACTAGATAATGCATACATTTCCTACAACACGTTGGTAAAAGTATAATGTCGAAAGTATAGTTTTTGAAGATATAGATATATTTAAAACAAAAATTAAAACTGAAAACTTCACACTTTATTTGATAATTTAGGGATTCTTCTTAAGAAAATTAGTTGTTTTTAGTTAATAAATACAGGTTAGGTTACGTCTGGGTTAGAAAAAAGTGTTTATTAAAATTAATGCATTTTTGCTTGTACATGCTTTTACTAAATCAGAAATGTAATTACTAGTAAAAGTATAAATTTTGTTACCTTGCAACTACATTCACTAACCATTGACTAGGAAATGTATACAGTTACTGTATTACCGCTTTTATTGTAACATATATATTACAATACAAATGGACCCAGTATTCGCCAGGCAAAGGTAAATTTTCATAAACAAGGAGCATAATACATTATTATTAGATATGTCCACGTAACTTTGCATGGTAATAGAATATTCAGTTGTTTCCATACAATGCATATGATAATTTACATTTACATAATTTTCTTTGTCTTTAGCGATAATCATGAGAACATAAATTCATGTAATTCCATTGTGCGAACATTGTACGAGGTGTGACAGTAACGGTTCGGGAAACCGTCTTCAAAGTAATCCTCTTGCGACCGTACACATGCATTCTAGCGCTGGATCCATTGATCACAACACTTTTGGTGTTTACTTTCTGTTATCTGTTTTAATACCCACGTTACGTTACAAGCTTGTCTGAATAAAGTTTCGAGAACAATTTTATTTCCTTCAAAGCGAACTAACTATTTACAATTGTTGCTGTTTTGACGGAAACAGAATTATTCTCGAAACTTTGTAGTCACTCTTCGTAATTGAATCTGGGATATTAACCCTCAGTTGTCGCACTGGGTCGAAATGACCCAAAATTTGACTTTGGAATAAAATATCTTTGAGGCATCATTGAAAATGGTAATACGGGCGTCGTAACCTTTGTATACCCGCGCAATAAGTCGCGGCATAACACGTATCGAGATAATTTGTTCGGAGTTGTTAACAAATAAAGTTGGGGAATGCATTTAACTAAAATAGTAAGAAGAAACTATTATAGAATACAGTTTTATTGCAATAATCACCTTTTAAATCTTCTATAACAAAATTCGACAAAAACAAGTAAGGACATACATTTCGTCGGGCTTTCAAACTGACGGACGTGTACAGAAAGGTTAAAAACACGATGATACTTTAAATATTAATTAATTTTTTTATATAGTTATGTCAGAATTTTTGCAACTTAATTCAATAGATGGTTTTTAAACAGCGGCTGATTGAAAATTGGTTTAGGTCGAATCGACCCAGTGTGACGACTACGTTCAAAAAAGCAGGTGTGAGAACCGAGAGTTAACAGAGATACCGGAAATATACTTGAAGATAGTTGAAACTTTATCGTCACACCCCGTAGTTAATGCCAATTGTGTCAGTTGACAACCGACGCGGCGTGAACGAACTAGTTTAGTGTTGGTTACCACTGACCGACGTGGCGTCGAATGTGATAACACTATAACTACCAAAACGGTCAAAATGACTGTTTCCAAAACTCTCATAAAAATGCTAAAAATGTCATAACAAAGTATTTTTTTGAGATTCTTCGCAACTTTCAGTATAATACAGTAAATCCTCGATGAGTGTTCGAAGACTCCTCGGCACTGACAAGGAAAGGTCCCCACGTGTAACGCTAATTTTTTAACGAGGATCAGCATAGTGGTAGAGCTTGGAATTACGAAGCCAAATATATTTATTTCAGCCGCATGTGGCCATTAGTTTATGAAATATTTAATACTCAATGCCAAGGAGCCTTTGAATACTCATCGAGCATTTACTGTATACATATAAGTGAAGAAATTCGTTAATTTATCGATTTGCATATTCCCGACAAGCTGTCCCTTCTTATCAGCACGATAGAAACAAAAACACGTTTATCTTCGGTAGTTTTAGTGTTAACAATCGTACAGGTAATAAATCATACTTCAAAAGTTTTCAGACCGATTAAACTGAAGAAAATAAGAACAGGTGAAAAATTCTATTAACGTATGCTGTTCCAGGTGAGACAAAGTTTGCAGACGTTGTCACAGCAGTTCGTGTCAATGAGCCACAGCAGCGAAACGGACCCGTCCTTATCCGGCGGCGCGATGGAACCGGAAAACGCTCCGAGTTAGCCCCCAACAAGGCTGAATAATTTAACGCAACCAAATAATACGAGTCCCCGTCGCCTCGCTAGCGTATGAAGCGTCTTTCGTATTAATACGTCGTTGTATTCGTCGTCGGCGTCGATTATTCCCACACCCTATACAACCGACTGATTGACGGAGTCGCTTCGACGGCCCTTGACAAAAAACAAAAATCAGATAGGCATTACCATTCGTTAGCGTTATCTAGACTTTCGCGCGGCGCTGAGGATAGAATGGAAGTTGTGCTGTAAAACGTCGAAACGATGCAACAAAGAAGAAAAGAAAACAGACGAACAAGTATAAATAATTCGAGAAAGACGAGCAAGGAACGTTTGTAAAAAGAACTTCCTAGATCGCGCATGCGTCACTCAATTCGACTTTTAGTCACGCTTGCTGGTGATAATGAAGAAAACAAAAAGAAAAGAAAATAAGCAAAAAAAAAAAAGAGAATAGATGCTTTGAAAGCGGCGAAAGATCAAAATGATACAATATGTAAACGGAATTATTTCTATGTGAACGTCGATCGCGTCGTGAAACAATTGTTACCGCGTTTGACGTGAAATTCGGTCAGTGCAAAATTAATTCGAGCGCGTATGGCTAGCGAAGGGATTTTCGTTTTTTTTTTTCTTTTGTTTGACTAGTCACGTATACAAATATATATCTATATATATATGCCCCCACATACGACAAGGGTATATTGAACAAAGTGAATCGATGCAGATGTTGCGCAGCATAGAACGAATACCGGTTACTTTCGCGAACCGAAACTCTATATTTTAACCATGAGGAGGATAATTACGCGGGAACGTAGCTTGACAGAACTTACGTTTGTGCGCGCACGGTGTTACGGTCGTTTCACGTACTAAAAATATCGTCTGTCGCATATCGAATACAGCGTCGTTTCACCGACGCGAAATTTCACCGTCGTTGTGAGAACAGCAAAACAACGGGATTCTGTTTTTGTTTTCTTTTTTCCCTTTTTTTTCCGAGACTCGAGACGACGAGGAAGCGCGAATGTAGGTCGCGACAGGGTGTTTGCGTAGGTTTGGGCCAGGTATATAAAGCGTGATAAGGTCGAGCGGATGAAAGAAGTTCACACGAAATTGTGTCTGAGAAGACTCTATCAAAAAGTTGCAACTGTATTGTGTAAGTTATTCGGTTTTGTAAAGGCTCATGATATTTTGTATAATTTTATATGTTTCACATTTTTCGATAGTTCTTTTTTGCATTTGTATCAGCACATTCCATAAACATATTGTACACAGACTGCAAAGCAAAGGAACTGTAAATATGAAACATACAAAACTGTAACAAATGATCAAAATGGTTCTGTAAATTGTTTCTATTTATGCAATTAATTGAAATGTATGTTTTCGTATTTTTCAGTAAATTGAAATGTTTTTCCTTTGACAAATCTCATTTTATAGATATTACTCCTTGTAAAGTTATTATAAAGTCGGTACATCAAATCAGGAATGTTAGTCAAAACAGAACAAAATGAAGCATTGTGCAAAACCTATTAATTTTATTGACCTGGTTCCAGGTTAATATTTGACACTATAATGTATAGTACCGCACAAATGTTTTCGGACAGAACCCGTTTCCTGTAGTATTTGAACTAAGGATACTACTGACGTTATATTCAATAATCAACGTCTGTCTTGTGTAATTTTTGTTTTCTTAGGTCGCCCATACTCGATGTATTTTCTAAATATCCTCCTCGAACAAATTGTTTATTTTGGTGAATATACCGTCTATTTGGGGACGTCTACACATCGCGAAACTGTAGATGATTGCGCTCCATTTGAAACGAAAAATGTCTTTGTCTGAATTAATTTGTCCGGTACTGCATGTCCATTTTCCTTATGACTAGACTGAGGATTTTTATGCAAAATGGGATATTATAAAGTACTTTATGAAAATAAGAACAAACGTAGGAATTTCTTTCTTTCCTTAAGTATCTTATTATTAGGTTAAGAATAAAATGGAAAACTTGTTACATCTGGTGAAATTTTGTCTTTTTTTGTATTTTACAGAACTCTATAGACTATAAATGCATAAAATCCGCAGTCTAGTTGTGACAAAAATGAACTTGTGTATTACAGAAATGTCAAAAATAATAGTAGTAACATATAATATGATTTCATTTCTGATGTTCTAGAGAGACATAACATCGAGAAGAGTATTATTAATAAATTTTTGTCCTAATTTGCTGAATAATTGTCTGATAATTCGTTGACAGACGTGTCTCTTCGTGTGTACTTTTATCAGACACTCGACCTCTCGTTTTATATTACATGATCTTGGTGTCACACTTGCTGAGCTCCCTGTGTATCTCTTTCACTTGAACATATTTCGATACGGTTGTACGTATGTTCTTATATGTGCAAAACAAGACGCGTTCGGGCGATGTGTTAATTATATTTGCGGTTAGAACGTGGAATTACAAAGAACGGGAGACTTGACTGTGATAGTAGGATCGAGGACGCATTTTGTTAAAACACGGTCGCGTTTATCAGGCTGTCGTTGTGTACCTTGATGAAAAATTGACGGAGTTGGTTGCTTCAATCCGGACCAAGTGACGCTCATTGCATAAACGCGACCGTATTTTCGGGATCACGTGGGATCTAAGAGAAGTGCTGTTACATTATTTAGCTATATTTATAACGAAAGGTGTGTATGTGTACGTCAAGCGAAATTCACTTAAATGTTTGTTCCCGATACAATATTGTTTATTACGATTAAACATATGATTATATTGCGAAGATAATTAATTTATGATAATTTCAACGGTCCTTACTGTCATATTTTTTATCGTCAACGGTTGCGGAATGTATTCTATTTTGTACACCCAGCATCATGGATTCGTGCTATATGAGAGATATATGGTAAATGAGGCAGAAAGATTTATGGACAAAATAGTAATTGAATAGAAAAAACAAACATAGGTGTGTAAGCCCACTCTAGGACTTGCTTCTAACATTTAATATGCAATGGTAACTTATTTTAATATTTCAGTCATATATTCCTTATTAGAAATTTTAAATAACCAGTTAATTGTTTTCTCCAACTAGTTTCTTTGTATGTAGTAGACTTTCTTTATATTCTTTGAGAAAGTAATGGATAAACTTTATGCAGGATGTTAAATATGAACTGGTTATTTCTCCAAAGAAGGTTATTACGTCTAATAGTTTGTACTGTTGCATATTCTTTAAAATAAATGTTTGTAATACAATTAGGTCTATCACATTCAAGAAGAATAAATTTTCAAATACTATTTTGTACAAGCAAAAATTATTTGAAAGCTCATTTATGTAATATGTACAGTCTATGTACATATAAGATGTGCCCATCTAACTGAAAATGAAGGCCATATTTCCTTGTGTGTGACAGATCCATTGTGTAGAGTGTATATTATAGAAAATATAAAACTGGGATTATGTTATGGGCTGGCGATTTGGTGGAATATTTAATTTATTTTGTAGTTTCTATGAATTTGGAGTATACAAATATTTGCACAGTTTAATGTGTTTTATGTATGTTATGTGCGTTGCTTGATTTTATAAATTTTTAATTAGTACGCTTTTTAATGCGTGGGTGAATTCGGGGTCGAAGGGGAGTTTGTGCCTGGCATGTGTGCCATAGAAAAGGAAAATTGATTGTATTCTAAACAGGAAAAGCGATGAGAAAATACTTATGATGAACTAAATACTGGAATTTGTTCGCTGGACATATTTGTTAAATCTAATTTTATATCTTCTTGCAAAAATCAGAACTGTTTCAATATTTACATTAAGATGAGAAAAACGCTTAAATAAAATAACTGGATAACAATCGTCATTAAAGGAAACGAATTCAGGAAAAATAAGTATAATCGCCAATGTTTGTGCCAAATTTTGGGATCATTGGACTTCCTGTTTACATGATCAGAAAATTCCAGTTCTGCATATTTGCAGTGAGTAAATTGATAGACTGCTCAAATTTATGTTTAAATTTCGGAAGGAAATCTAATTTGTTTGTTAGTGGCAATGATTATCCAGTTAATTCAGCTTGAGGTTGTTCTCCAAAAACGATTTAAACGGATGTGAATTTATGACGTACAGAGGGCGATGATTTTTTCTTTACGTTTATGTGTAATACTGTTTGCCTTACTGTAACAATTCTAGACAACTTAGATGGACGCTCAACTTATGATCCATTTACCTTAGAACGTAACCGTATATAGCTGTTCTTGATTTGTACTTCTTGAGCGTAATTGTCGTGGGAATCATGACTGAATTTTCAGCTGTACTTTTTGGAATCTGATGTCAACGTTCGCTTATCTGAATTAATTCACATGCATTGAATTAGTATCATAATGGATTAAATTGAGTTCACTTCCCTCTATAAATCAATTGTATTATAAGGAATTCCTTCACACTTGTTTTAGATAATTATTAGGTCGTTGTATATGAAATGTCGCTTTTATTGATTGGTGTATTGGATCACACTTTTACGAATGAACTATTTGTCTGTACTTTTTACGAGGCATTATTTGTTCTACAGACAATGGATTAAGATGACAATTTTTAATCAAACTTAGACATAGACTCTATAGAACTTTATTTATGGTTGTGATAAGAGATTATTTTTTAACAAAAAAATCTATAGAGCAAAAAGACTACAATACATATGGTTTGCTTAAGAGTAAGTTTAACTTGATACATTTATTTCCTAGTTTTTAATCATAGTTTCTGCATAAACGTATAGTGTAATGAATTGGGGGAGGTAAATAAGTGTTTTTAACTAATAAAATTATTCGAAGTTGAATAAAATACAAAGTGCCACTGAAAAAACGACATTTCATATACAACGACCTTATACAAGCAGTTGATTTGATATTATTAAAGTGACGTTAATATTTCAAATTGAACATTGTTCATTAGAATCCATAACATTACTAAAACGTTAACCCGTTAAACCACAAGTGAAATAGCATATTACCCGAAGTTCTTTAACAAAACCAGTCATTTCAAGATAGAACTTCTTCGCCAAGGTTTAAGCCTTTTGTTCCGTGCGAGTGAACAGTGAAGTGTGTGACAACAACGGTTACTAGAAATCAAAATTGGAGTGCGATCCAAGAAAGCGGTGTGGCCCAGAGAGTTAAGAGAACAGTGAAGCAAATATACTTGTTACGAGGCGATGTTTGAACCTTTATAATGCGTTGTAAATTTTCTGAGAAACGTTTTACATGTTTGTACTTTCCGGTAACGTTTACTATTAAGCATTTAAAACGCATAAAAACCATAGGTGACTAAGATCATGATTGTATTAGGAGACTTTAAGTTAAGCTGCAAGCATTGTATATTTGTTTCCACAAAAGGGAAAATTGCTTTCTTCTAATTCACTATTAATATATGGCATTACATAGCTACAAGCAGTAAAAATTAATTGATCTATCCTGTACTGTTATTATTTTGTAAATTGTTTAATTTTGTTTTGTATAAGCAACTTTTCATTGTTATGTTAATGTTAAAATGTGTTTGAGGGAAAGTTGACATTTGAGTTACAGAGAGATAATATATTCATTGGTGCTGAGTGCTTGCCATGTTACAATTATTAGATTTATTGGAATGTTCTGTCACTTTTATATTCATGTTTTAACGATAAAGTGAAGGTTTTCTATCCTGGAGATA